TTGTGTGAATCGATCATCTGGCTTAGGGATTTGATTAAATCTCGATTTTTATCATCTATCTGAGACGTGCCTATATCCACTAATTAATGCTAGCCAATTAACTAATGTCAAAATTTAAAACTGATATAAAGGGCTTAAGTTATCAATTTCTTGTAGAATTATTTAAATAAATGATTTTGGGTTCATTTTGTAATGGCAGAAGAAAAACACAATATTACAATCATTTAAACAATTCTTTCCAGGCAATTGATAAAATAACTTTTCTGGCTACCCATGGTTTACCATGGCTTCTCTGTTTTTCCAATCAAGAAATTTTGAAATTTCCAGATTAGCCATAAATTTTTTGGACTGAACCGCATTTTTTACAATACGGAATTAAAATAAGTAATACCTTTTTAGTATAGCAATAATTATAAATAGTACCAATATAATAAAGCGAATAATGGTACAATACCTTTCTGTACACGGAGAAAAAATTACGGCAAAATTACCGGGCTGCATTGCAAAAAACATTTCTGGTAAGAAAAAATAACAATAATTCTGGTAATAAAACTAAAATATGCGTTATTACCGCACTTATGGTTAAAAAGAAACTGAGAAATGAATTTAGCCGAATTTGGTTTTTATGTCATGCCCTAAGGCATGATAAATTTACAAGAATTGGTAATATTTCCAGATTTGACCACATTTTTAAAACCATATCTTATTGCTAATTTTACCAAAATCATTACCAAAGTGCTTCGGTAAAAATTGCCATACTTTTTTTATGTTCCCATACAGCCAGAAACACGGTAAATTTTACCATATTCTAGGAGTTTTGATTTTTTTTTTCCATTGTGTATATTTCATAAATTTTGAATTCTCAAAAGTTGCTGGCATTTCGTAATTTCTTTTACAGACTCACTTAAGCTTGGAAAGTTTTAACGATAATACCAAGTGTACTAAAGAAAATTAAATAATACTATACAGTAAAGTTTTTTCTTTGATTTAATTTAGGAGCAAGGAACATACATGTCTTAAATATATCATTATCATGTAGTGAATAATTAGCAAAGATGAACTGATAAAAAGAAGACAAGCAAAATTCTGCTTTAAACACTTTATTTACCATTAATCATTAAGCTTTAATTAATTTAAATCTTTCTCTTCTGAGGATCGGGTTTGTGAGTGTTGAAAAGACTAAAGATATTTGACGCAATTCACGTACTTGACGCATGTAAAGTTTGTAGTTTGATGTAGTTTCGTAAGAACATGTAATTAATTGAATACGAGCTGTTTTTGCTATTAAATTTGACAGTAATTTCAGCCACATGTTAAAACAAAATATGTATCTAAAAAAATTAATATGCAAAAACACTTATCGCATATTTAACGTTAAGTGGAATATTGCTCACAGCAATTTTTTTTCCATTAATTTTAAAAACGAAAACTCTAATGAAGGAGTTGAAATATGATTAACCGATTAATTTTCTTTCCTAATTGTGACAGAGAAGAAAATGTTTTATTAAATAATTTTTCGAATTATATAGCTTTTTAAGTAACGACATTTCAGCCTAGTATTTTTACTTCGTGTCACTGTCATTAAACAGTGTTTTTTTAACTATAATNTTCCATTAATTTTAAAAACGAAAACTCTAATGAAGAAGTTGCAATATGATTAACCGATTAATTTTCTTTCCTAATTGTGACAGAGAAGAAAATGTTTTTATTAAATAATTTTTCGAATTATATAGCTTTTTAAGTAACGACATTTCAGCCTAGTATTTTTACTTCGTGTCACTGTCATTAAACAGTGTTTTTTTAACTATAATAAATGTGTTGTGCTTTAATTTGTGTTATATAAACTCTGTGCTATATAAAAAGTGTGTTTCATAAACTCTGTGCTAGATAAAAAGTGTGTTATATAAACTCTGTTCCATATAAAAAGCGTGTTATATAAACTCTATAAAAAGTATTACATATAACTATTAAAACCCTGATGTAAAAAAATAGCAGCAAAATAAATATACCTTGCAAGGACACATTATAAATATTTTTAAAGATAATTATGAATGTTTTCATATTAACTATTGTATAACTACTAAGAAGTCGTAATTTTTAAAGCATTTATCGTTATTTCATCCCATTTCGAAAAAAAATTATCTAGTTCAGTCATTTTAACTGTAGATTATATTCAATCAATCGAATTCAAAAATAGAATCTAGCAAAATTTGTGTCATGTAAGCTGTTACAAAAACTAAAAATTTGATTAAATTATAACAATTAATTATGTAGATGAAAAAACAAGTTTGAGTTACAACAATGGGAAATAAAACACGCGAAGTGACTTGAACCAATGGTCTCCAACCCCTAATTCGTGGATCAAATGGTACAGGGCCTCCTAAGGAACATTAAATTATTATCATTTTATTGACTATGGTGTATTTCTCTCGAGTTTGTACGACTTAGTACCATATTTTATTATTGTATTTTATTTTAAAGGCATGTTTAAATAAAATTAAATTAAAATTATTAAATCAAAACAAGCTTAAATATAAACAATCAACGTCTCCGCCTCTTTAGCGGGCGCTGGTAAAATTATTAAACGTTGACCGGTCCGCGGCGATAGAAGGGTTAAGGAGCATTCATTGATTTAAACAATAAAACTAAAAAAGTTTAACATTTCAATATTCATTCTGAAAACTTCAAACTGTAATAAAGTGTAAATTAATTAATAAATATTGATTTTTAAAGAAAATTTCATAACAGCATTTAGAGCAACAAAAGAATATCCCCCCCAAAGAATCCAAAATTTTTAATATTAAAATGTACAACAACTTCCGTACAAGTCAAGAAAGATTTATTACAACAACTGCCTCTTTATTTTATTCCGTGATTTATCGTAAAATTGTGTGAAAGCTACTGTAAGTTAAAAAAAAAAAGAAGGAAGGAAAAAAAATAGCACCTTTCAACTTGAAAACAGTGAGTTCATTTTGTTATCTATATTTTTTTAACATCTTCCTCCTATTTACTACCAAGTCAGTGCTTCAGGCTAAACTACTGATCGTGAACTTTAACATTACTACAACGGAGCCACATTAATAGTTCCTTTCCCAAGCATTTAAAAGATTGATTTAATTAGTTTCACGATTAAAGTTAGTGCAGTGTACTTTCGATGGAATTCGTTGCGGATATTGACTAGCATTAAACACAGGAATCTCCGGAGCTAGTTGAGATCTTACGGGATTTAATGGACTTTCTGGAATCCAAAAAAAGTGTTTTAGCTTTAAGCTATACTTGTAAACTCTTTCTTTCCCTCATTATAATAGACATCAAACATAATACTTGAAGTCCTTTCGAATTAAAAATCGTTAATAAAAAATGGAAATAGTGAGTAAAAAAATATCATTATTATTAAATACGATTTAAATATTAACTATAAGACATTACTCTATTGTTTAGTTATAGTTTTTTGTTATTAAGGGTTATTTATCTTACAAGCCATTAGATTTATTACTTATTGTCATCGTTTGTTATTACTGCAATTTGTAAATATCGTTTCAAGCATAATGTATATTTTATTGTCATATCATTTGTGTTATTATTTATTGAATCCATACAATAATATACAATAGCATGTTGATTAATTTAATAGAATGTTTCAAACCATAATGAATCTAACAATTTAATAAGTGAAATACAATATTCCCCCCAAAGCTTTTCTAAATTTATATATTTTTCTTTTTATTTCAATTCATATAATTCAAATATAAATAATAATAAATAAAAATCATAGTATGGATTGTTTGAACTAGAATTTATAGTAAATAGTAAAAAAATTCCTATTTTATTAGAAAAAATATTATCCTTAAAAATGTAATAGTTAAAAACAATGAATCGAGTATTTATATTAAGTTTCTTTTATTATTTTAAAAAATTTGTTTAACAAAACTAATTTATTCAGTTGAAGAAATGATTTTAAGAAGTTGTAATTTATTTTCCATACAGCATTTTGCATTGACTGTTAGAATAATTAAATAACGTTCTAATTTAGTAGTTAAATAATAAGACAATTTAACTATTCGCAATCTTTTAACTAAAATGCAAACTTTAAATTCATTCACATCAATAAAATTTTAATCAAAGCTTAATTTTCCACCTTGTAATATATTTTTACTTAAACTGCTAACTGTGAGCCAATATTGTCATGGTGTCTGCAGAATAGAACGTTATTTTTTTCCTTGTAATTATTTCTCAATCATTTTTAAAATAGAACCTTTTTCCAAAATGATCAAATCTCCTTCAGTTATTTCTATTTTATTTTAAAACTGGGATTACCTACGACATAGCAATTATAGTCAAAAATTGGAATTCTTTTATGATTTGCTGACGTAATTAAAGTTAGCATTTGCAACAAAATCTGCATTTTAAAATTAATCTATCCACAGCTGTAACGAAAGGATGGACGTAAACTTATGTAAAACTGAGATGTAAACGTTAATGATGTAGTTTCTTTTCATTGCGTCAAGTATAATGAATTAATCTATCCACAGCTGTAACGTAAGGATGGACGTAAATTTATGTAAAACTGAGATGTAAACGTTAATGATGTAGTTTCTTTTCGTTGCGTCAAGTATAATGAATTAATCTATCCACAGCTGTAACGTAAAGATGGACGTAAACTTTGTAAAACTGAGATGTAAAGGTTAATGATGTAGTTCCTTTTCATTGCGTCAAGTATAATTAATTTTTTTTTTAAAAATTTATCTTTTATATTTACTTATTTTATCTATTTAATTGTTTGTTCAATTTTGCTTTGTTTTGTTTGTTCAGGTCGTCTGAGTTTGTTTGTGCTTGTCTATACTAAAATAATTCAGGTTACGACCAGCGAGTAGGACAGCACAAAATTTTCGGCTTTGATTTAGATTTAGACTTTAGAAACACTTTATATTTTTTACATGAACGAATGTAATATCACAAAAATACTTTATATTGCTCTAATAATGTATATATTCTAACAGGCCACATGTATGTACAGATCGCCAAATGGAATCAGTAAAGGTTCAAAAACCTTGTACAAGAGCTTATACACAAATGACCAAAGTATGGAAGCCAAATTGTGGACAACACAGTTGGTGTGTTACTTACGAACCCAGGTAAAATTTCCACTTTTCTTATTATCTTACACAAAGCACAAAATTTTAATCTCTTCATACTTAGATCTCATTTCATATTAGAGATTTGACCCATTATTTTGGTATTTTATAGTATTGTATGTGCTGATCTTTTTCAGTAATATGCTTCAATTCCCGCATTTTAAATATGAAGGTCAGTTCGTTTTTTTCTGCCATGCGTTTGAAAATCTCTGAAATATCGGGAAAAAAACACGATAGTTAGTTTTTTCGTTTACGTCAATTTAGTTCATTTTTTATTTCTTTTTTTTATATTCATAAAATTCAACTAATAATTCCAAGGAGTGAGGAAATGTACTTGATGCTAGGTGATAAAACTAAATGCAGGCAAAAAATGTTTTTTTCTTTTTATTTTTTTAAATTTAAAATTAGTACGCATGTGCATTAACGATTCTTCTAATTTGGGAATATTTGTATTCCGAATAGAAGTTTTTAATAGCTGAAAAATTATTTTATCCACATTTTTACTCCTTTGTAATTCTGTTCTTAAACTATACAAAAATATTCTTTTTTATCCCTAATAAAAGATTTTATTTTTTCTTTTAAAATTCATCCATGTGCCCTGCCCCGTCCATTGCTATAATTTATGAGAATTGAAACCGAAAACTAAAATTGATTTTCTATTTAATTTTTTTGATAGCTAATATGAATGTGAGAGCATCAATAATGACAAGAGTAAATTTAAATAATAATTTTATTCCAAATCTGGAATAAAATTATTATTTAATCCAGATTCCTTAATTTTAATTATGTATAGTAATAACTCTTAGAAATCCAAATATTTGACAGTAAATCTTCTATACAATTGGATACTAAGAAAAAAAAATTCTGGTGTGTTATCCATGGGTTTTTTGTCTCAGATCATCCACAATGACTGTGATAATGGAGACAAATAAATGGTGAATATAGATTAGAATAGTATTAATTTTATCATAAGGGTATTATAAATTTAACCATATATGAAGATGGATACAGTAAGAGGGCTAATAAATGTAATTTTTTTAAGTTTGTATGTTCTCTGAAGTCTTCTTAGCATGCAATTTTTTGCTATTCAAGTTCAAGTTAAAAAAATACAAGCACAAAAATATCATACAACTTTAAGCTCCGCTCATAAAATATGTTATTATTAACTAACATTTGTGGTGTTTTAGAGTTTTTTTCACTTTTTATCTTTTTTTTAAAAAAAAAGAAAGAAAAAAAAAAGAAAATTTTTACACTTTAAGCGATCTCAAATTGATGGAATCCCTCAGAAAAAGAAACTAATCGAGTAACGAATAAGAATTACTTTGATCCAACATTTTTTTTCCCTCCAGAAAGCCTTACCCTTTCTTTTTTCCCAATTTTAAATTTTTCCTCGAATAATTTAATCAGCAAATGTTTTCCACATCTTTTCAAGATACTATTAAATTTTCTTTGAGTTTGCTAGCTTATTCTTTACAGTAAATAATTATAAAATTATATTTTTTTTCCAAAGTTTGCTTTAGTTGTTCTTTAAATACTCTCTAGATACATTTTTGTTTGCTTGCAGCTTACTCACATAGAACGTAAATACACTTCATTTTTTTATAATATAAAAGATATTAATTAATATTTATATTGATTTTTATATTTTATAATATAAATATTTATTTACAAAGTAATGATTTTTATTTCATTGGACAAAAAATAAAATTAATAATTTCAAACTACTGTAGAAAAGAAAAAAACCAATCATATTCCTTAAAATCCTTGATAGAATTATGGAAAAAAAAGGGCAGGAAATTTTTGTTGACTACTGTTCAAATTGTTTTTTTTTTTTTTTTTCAAAACTTTGTTCAAAAAGAAGTATCNTCATTTTTAAATTTTTTTTTTTTTTTTTTTTCAATACTTTATTTTCGAGAAAAATTTTTCGATTTTTAAGAAAACAGTTCTTTTCAAGAAAAACTGTTCAGTTGACAGCGCAGAGGAAACTTCTTATCTTCTTAGGATGAAAAGTCTTCCGTTATGTAATGCTGCCATCTATTTTTAAAGTTAAGAACTTCAAAATATATTACTTAACAAAATATGATTTCTACTCCAAAACATAAGTTTGCTTCTTTCTTTTTTCCTCAACTTTATATTTTAGTGAAATATCATATAAATAATTCTTTAAAGTAATTATGCAGATATGTGGCTAAATTATTAAATATTACGAATGACAAATATCTATTTAAAACAACAAACTATTATTATTAAAACAATTGTTTCTTTTTTCTGCACGAAAAAATAGCTAATAAATAATAGTAAATTAATTTATAAACTGTAATTAACATTATCTGCTTTTTATAGTTAATAAATAATAGGTTTCATAAGTATTTTTTGTTTTCAGTATTATATTTTTATAAGAATTAAAATTAACAAAATGGCGTAGGATAAATTAGGGCTTGCCTAAAACTTAAATAATTTGAATGTATCAAAATAACATTATCATCTTTATATAAATACTCATATACATAATTTCAAATGAAAAGTTTAGTACATTGCACTTATTTACTTAATTCAATTTATTATAGGCTGAACTATATATAAACTATTTTTATAAATATAATTTTATTCTCATCCTTTAACTAGGTTGTTGCTATACTTTAAAATGATTACTTACTTACTTAAGTCGAAGAAAATATTAATTAAAATTCATGTCATTTTAACACAGTGACCGTGGACGAGTTAACTCGTCTTTTAATGCCCTAATGAAATGACGGTGTAACTCGATTTTTCATTCCCAAAACAATTCTTATTTTCATACAAAAGCGTGATAACGAGTTAACTCGTCATCAGTCAGAAAATTTTGGGCCTGAAATTAATATTTGAAATGTTTTACTTTACTTCCATATTTAATTACAAAATAATAGCCGATGATGTGACAGCTTCTGTGTGAGATTGCCTGCATTAAAACGTGTTCATATAACCGTTAACTGCTTCTACTATTTTTGCATTTGTAAAAATCGTAGAAGCATTAACTAACAGAATTGCCTATAAAATTTATTCCATAGTTCAGGATTTTCTAAATTGCACCGATTCCCAAAATTTTTCAGGGGTAACACTTGAAAGACAGAAGAGTACAAATTTGTTTCTTTCAAATGGAGACCTTTTGTTTGATAAAGCATAATAATTTAAATTGATAACGTAGGTGACTTTTCAGCGGTTATTATCGGGTGAATCAATGTCAATAATAAATAATATGCAATAAACTACCATGCCTCGTAGATTTTTCAGATAGATATGAGACTGTTTTTTCTTGTGAGCGTCTTTTTAGTGTTAAATATCCATATACGTTGAAAAATTCCAAAGAAATAATCATTTTTTAATTGCCTTAATTTTATTTAATTTAAATTAGATAAGTTATTCGAAAGATATTAAAGCAGCTAGGTAAGTAAGGTTAACTAGTAATAAACTAAGAAATTAATTAAGCTTATTACCCTTGGAATAGATACACAGAGAGTGGGGCACTTTACGGATGCTTTCACGAAAAAGAACTGTAACAGTAAGTAAACCCATGTAAGTGTAGCAGTAAGTAAACCCATAATATGGGCAATTTGCCGTACACAGTACAGCATACTTTTTTATAAAAAGTACATGAATTAAATCATTTAAGAAAAATACATAACAACTAAAAATTTACTGAAATATTATAAAATACTTATTATTGCAACAAGTATTTAGTTTAATATTTTTGAGATTATATTCAATTGTTATAGTCCTTTTTTATTCCTTAGAACTATCTATTATACTGGGTATAAGGATTCCTACGAAACTCGGTACAATACTGTATCTAAATGCTGCAACGGTTGGACGCAGAAGAATGAAGAACCTGGATGTTTTTATCGTAAGTAAAATTTAACTTGTACTCACTTGAAAAAACATTTGACTGGTTTAGTAAGCCATATAGCACAATATAGTTTCGGAAATATTTCTGACATGTACTCCGCCAAAAGTTTTATTTCTATTCAAACACGTTTTCCTGGTTGAAGCCAAATTGCAATAACCCATGCAGCTCAATATATGTAGTTTCAGACTGGTTTAGTCACATTATAATAAGCCATACAGCTCAATATAGTTTCTGAAATGTACTCAGACAAAAGTTTTATTTCAATTCAAACATTTTTTTCCTGGTTGAAGCCAAATTGCAACAACCCATACAGCTCAATATAGTTTCAGAAATATTTCTGAAAAGCTGTCTGCCAAAAGTTCATCATTCTGAGAAGTTGTTTTTTAAATATTTCTGGAATGTTATATTTAAAATAATTTCGAAATGTTTCAGATATTTATATCCGAATATTTATAAGAATTATATGAAGAATAATCCAATAGTTGTAGCAGAAAAGCACAAATTTCTAAGTTTTAGTGGTTAAAAAAAGCGTTTTTTGGACTTTTCCAAACGTTTTTCTTTATGTTCTTTGAAATATTCTGTTTCTTATCCGAGAAATAATTTCTAAGATGCATTTCAACTATATAGTTATCATACAACTCATGATGTATAATTGCAATGATGTTTCTTTTGTTTATTTTTAATTTAAATATTATTTTACTCACAAATGGATTTCTATTTAAAAATGCAATTCATATTTAATTTTTTATAATTTTCTAATATGAATATGCTAAAGAACTTATTATGCTTCTTGTTATAACCAGTTTTACCTAGTTTTTTTTTTAAAAAATTAGGTCTTTTCACTTAAAAATATTTCTACAAATTTTCTTCAAATCTCTGAAAAATCTTAGTAAAAGAACAAATGTTCTGTATTTTTTTTATGTTTTTCTAACCCTTTTTTCTAAAACATTTTGTTAAAAATTCTTTATTTAATTCTTCGGGAGAATGTCTTAAACAAATAATTAAAATTATTTTAATTTTTAAGACATATTTTTGCTAAAAATATATAAATTAGAATAAATTATTATATATTAATTTTTAATTCTACCATAATTAATGAGTCAAACTTCATCTTAAAATCTTGATCCACTTTTTTTGCACATTTATGATGATTAAAAGTATTATGAATCAGTCAATAATCTTGTCTCCTTCTTAAAATATCAAAAAACGCTTCAACGAGATTACCTGAAAACAGTTTTGTTCATCTGTAAATTTTTTAATCGAGCTGGTAGAAATTAAAGGCTGTAAAAGCAGAATTGATTATTTAAGTTTTTTTTCCTCGACGTGATAAGAATTTTACTTATTTGCATTAATTTATCATTTAAAATTTCCATTCAGCAAATTTGTTTAGATTGACTAACTCCTCATCTTTCAAATTTTGAATAAAATTTCGTATGATGCTCAATGGTCAGAAAAAAAAGGAAAAACTTCTAAAAATAGATAACAGGAATTTTTAAAACGCAACTATCTTAAAGAAAAAAACAGAGGCCTTTAACCTAAAGTACCTCTCCTGAGTACATTGGTTATCTAAAATATGAACCATTTTACTTCACAATGAATAGAATTGAAGAGAATGGAATTTCCAAATTTAATGAAAAGGATTATTTGTTATTTGAGAAGGCTAGAGAACTTATTCCCTTTTGTCGCGAGAAATCTATATTTTTTTTCTTTTTTTAAGTCAATAAAACTCCCTTAGAAATTAACGTAACAAATATGCATAATCTTATTCCCACTTATGAGACATATACTCCATTGAGACATATCCTCTGAAAGAAAAAAAACTATTTTCAAATTTTTAATTTAGAGAGTTTCTTTTATTTGAAAGGAACATATTTAGATAAAACAGCAGTCAAAAAATTTTAATTTTTTTATATTTTTATTTATTTATTTTTTATTATATTATTATTTTAAAAAATGAAATTCTATTTTTTATATCACCCTCTATTTAGAATAAGGACTTGATAAACGTATGTCTTTGTTACAAAATCCTCCAATATTACTTAAAATCCAGAATTACTGGTCTTTCTTTGCATCTTAGGGTTGGAGGATCAATCATCATATCAAAATTGACAAAGTAAGGATATATTTACTTGTAAATGTACCAGATAATAGTTAAATTAAATGCTTTAAATAAGTGAAGTATCATGATTTTTTTTTAAAAAAAGATCGAAATTAAAAATTGAATATAATTGTTTAAAATTATGTGTCAATAGAATTTTAAATTTGATAAATGGTAAGAGAATACATAAAAAAGTGAAGCAAATATTTCTTAAGACAATAAATTACCATCCTTCGTTGCTTCAAAATGTGTCTAAAAATAAAACTCAACATATTTACATGCTTCAAATAGCAGTCTATTGTGATTTTAACAACATTCCTAACGTATTTGAATGTTTTTAAATATCCCTGCCCACATTTTCCAAAAAGATATTTTCTATAAAATATATATTTTTATATGACTAACATCAATGAACACTCCATCTGTCAACTTCACTTAAGGACAAACTTCCCGGAATTAATAAGTGCACTTAAATCTAAATAGGGAAAAATTCATAAAAGTCAAATTTAAACAGCTAAGGCAAAAGAAAATACAATTTACTGCTGCACTTTTAAGCTTTTTTTTTATGGAGGACACATATTTCTAAAAAGCGTATCGTTATAGAAATGCTTATTATGCTATAAATTCAGTTTGTCAACTACCCAAATGACAAGAATGAAGCACTCAGCAAAATACTTAACCATATCAGGTTTTTTTTAAAAAACGTTTTTTTTTCTGTTGAATGAACGGAAGCACTGATCCTGTTTTCCAAATATAACGCCGTCAAAGATTTGAAGAGGAGAATGCAAGAAAAAAAACGTTGTTTTTGACGCATGATGAATATTGTAGATAACACATTTCTTGTGAATGTATAGCCTCGGATGTTATACATTATACGAGAAGTGCTACTGAAATCTTTTCGTCACTTGTGTTGAGAAAAGAAATTTTGACGCTGAGAAAAAATTACTTTGTTCCGGAGTGGTTCTTTATAAGATAAAAAATGAACATTAAAAATAATGCTTAGTGACATGTTTTATTTTGGATTTCACCATGGTTTAAAACTGCAAGAAGCACAGAAATGATCTCCAATATGGGAATTTAGCTGGCTGTACAATGCTATAAATATAAGATCTTAACTGACTAATAATGAACATTAGAAATAATGCTTTATAGTTAAAAATGGACAGTGAAAATAATGCTTAATGGCATGTTGTTTTCTTTTGGATCTTAGACCATGTTTTAAGACTGCAAGAAGCACAAAAACGATCTCTAATATATGGATTTAGCTGGCTGTGCAATGCTACAAATCTTAACCAATTGTGACGTTAAGTTTTGTTTAATTTCTAAATAAATTTTAAAATTTTATTTATTTCAAATATTGATTCTTTTAATGTCTTTTCATATGTTTTTTTTCTTCTTGATTTCAAACTTTTTTAAAATATTTGATCTACAAAGCTTTCATACTGCATCGATTAAAGAATAAAACTGTGTATAGACAAAATCCGCTGCCTTTTACCAAACTAAGAAATATTGAGCACCTTAGAAAGGTTTTTATTCTTATTGGCAGATTTACAATCAATAAACATTACTTGAATACAGAAATGTAACACATATTTTTTTTTCAAAACAGTCTTAAAATGAAACTTTGTCATCTATTTTAAGGCATAAATTGCAATCTGGCCATACCTCTTGCTCCAGGAGAGTATTTAAATCAAATTTACTTAAAAAACATTATTTTCATAAACACTGAATTTGAAAAAATAAATATTTATTGTTGATTCATTACAAAAAGAATTGAATTTCTTAGTGTAAACCTTATATATATAGCAGTTATTGTAGAATCAGTATGAATATAGCAAATCAAATGAGCCTGATGAAAATGTAACTTTTGGTAGCATTTATTGCAGCAAAAATGGAGATATTAATGCTACCATTTAAGTCTTGTTCCTATTTAAATTGTGTAGATAGAGAAGAGTGCACCTTGGACCAATGTAGTTATTTGCACCATCCAGCTGAGGAGTATAGTTATTTGTGATTGGCTAAAGTGAAATTCTTGTAATGCTGTCTTTAGTTGCCTTAAAAAGAAATTACATGAGTACCATTTTAGCCAAGTTTAAATTTATGAACTAGACCGTTTTATATACTCGCATTTCTTTAAAGCAGGCCACTTTTACTGGCAAATATTATCGACTGATTGATGACTTAACTTGGCCCTTTTTTAAGTCAGCTGTATATGCACTATTTTCAAATGAAACTCGTTTATTAATGTTCCCTTTTTGTAGAAGATATGTCGACGTTTGTTTCATAATGATGGACAATACCTACATTGATAATGTTCTCAATATTATAGCCTTGCAATACAATTTACGTTAGAACAGAAAATTAATAAGTGTTTACCTTTATCAGACTTTTTTAATACTGGTAATTTCGATTAATTTCTCACTACTGCTAATTGAAAACCGTTTTCGGTTTCCTTTCCCACTCATAACCTTATATCTCATTTCTCTAACCTAACTGTAGCTGCCTTACACGCACTTGTGTAACATGCTTCTAAATTTTGTTCTAAATTTTTTCTCCTATTTACCTTATAGCTGTCACTGCAGACCACTGTTTTCCATCTAATATTATTGATTTCATTGATAGAGAATTAATTTCGCAATCCACCAAAATTTGTAATTCGAAATTTAACAATTTTGTTGTTTTACTTCCCCTCACACTTGTTTTTTATTTCCCTTCGTTTATAATCTTGTTCAAACTTGTTCATCTGTCCCTATTGGTTAAACTACTTTGTTGCACGTGTTGGTCTCTTTACTTCTCTATCATTTGATGTGTACACTCTGAGGAAAGTTCTTGTTTATAAAACTGAAACTATAGTATGTCCATATCTGTACTTTCATTTGCGCTTAATTAACGTTTTTTT